GGGGGGGGGTAGCGGGTGGTGGTGGTGGTGGTGGTTGCGTACCTCTCCGGCAAATGCCCCGTTGCGCCAGATGGCTGGCATGGTGGACAGAGGTGTGGACAGAGGTGGGGTGGGGGGTGGGGTGTGGGGGGGGGGTGGGGGGGGGGGGGGGGGGGGTGGGGGTGAATGGAGGGAGGTGTGTGCGTGTGTGTGTATAGTGGACAGGTTTTGGAAACGAGGGCATGGGGGAAAGTGCCATGTCCGATTGTCGGGGCGATTATCGGGGCGATTGTCGGGGCGATCGAGACCATTGCGGGTCATTCGGAGAGCTACTGTTGGCATGACATGTCACTGTGAGGAAGGCAAGAGGGGAGTGATTATGGGAAAGCCAGAAGCACAACGATGGAGGGGGTGTGGGGCGTGTTTGGGTGCAGTCTGGTTGCGATCAGGTGCGGTCGCGGAGTCGCCGGGTCGCCGAGTCGCCGAGTCGCTGGGTCGCACGGTCGCGCAGTCGTCGAGTCGTGGGATTGCCAAGTCGTCACCTCGTGTGCCGCATGGGGGGCAGTCAGAATCGAGGAAATGCAGCGGCGGCGAGCTTGGCCCGGACGCCTGGGTTGTCGATGGCAAGGAGCATGTCGTCGCGACGGAGGATGTCGCGCGAGTGGGCGAGATGGAGGAGATCAGCGACGGGCGACGAGTGAGCCGGCACTGAGTTGATCACATCTTCGGTGACACGTGCGCCAGCCACGACGAGGTAGGCAACTAGCGGGAGTATGCCCAACCTGGCGGCGACGCCCAGTGCAGTCTTGCCATCGGACTGAGCCAGGTCGAGATCGGCCCGACCAGTGGCCACCAGCGCCGAGACCATGTCCAGGGCGGCGTCGATGGGCTGAATGGCCTCGTGGAGCGGGCTCGTCCCGTCGGGCTTTCCGAGATTGACGTCAGTGGCCGGGTACGCGGCGAGCCAGGCGACAACCTCGGCGTGACCCTGAACGCACGCAATGTAGAGCGGAGTGACGCCGTCGTTGCGCGCCTTGTTGACGTCGGCGCCACCGGTGGCCACCAGCCAACGGACAAGCTCAACGTTACCGAGAAAGGCAGCAATCAGCAGGGTAGTGTCTCCGTTGGGTTGCGTCGCGTTGACGTCGACACCCACATCGGTGACAAGCCAGCGGACGATGTGCGCGTGACCGTTGCTGGCTGCGATGAGCAGTGGAGTGGTGCCGCGGTTGTTGGCGGCGGTCGGCGACGCGCCGCCGGCTAGTAGCCGCTGCGCCGCAGCAAGATGACCCTCCACAGCTGCCACATACAGCGGCGTCGAGCCGGTCGACCGCGGCTGCTCAACGTCGGCCCCGCCGTGGGCAATCAACCAGTCGATGATCTCGACGTGGTTCTTGAGTGCAGCAAGGTAGAGCGGCGTTGCGCCGTCATTGCGGGCCAAGTTGACGTCTGCGCCGCACTCGCGCACGAGGCACTCGACCACGGCTAGGTGATTGTTGTTCACCGCGATGAGCAGCGGCGTGTCGCCGTTGGGCTTGGCCACGTCAACCTGAGCGCCGGCCTCGAGCGCGAGCCAACGGACCACATGGACGTGACCCTTCATCGCCGCCAGAAACAGCGGCGTGCTGCCGTACGAGTTGGTGACCGTGGTCGGCTCGTTTCCCTCAGTGACAAGCCACTGGATGACTTCCAGCTGCCCGTTGTTCGCCGCAATGAGCAACGGCGTGTCGCCGTTCTTCTTCTGAACCCCAGTGTTGGCGCCGCAGCTCTCTGCCAGCCACACCACCATCTCGGTATGTCCGTACACCGACGCAAGGTACAGCGGCGTCGTTTTGTCGTCGCGCGCCTCATCGGCGTCAGCGCCGCCGACGTCGACCAGAAACCTGGCGGCATCAAGAGCGTCATATTGCGCAGCGCAGAGGAGCGGCGTCGTGCCGTCGCTTCCGCGTGCCGCCGGACTCAACTTGCCCTCCTCCATCAGGAGCGCCAACAGCTGGGTCTCGTTTGTGTGCGCCGCGAGATGCATCGGCGTGTAGCCCGCCGCAATGTGTTCGGAGAGCGACGACCACGCGCGCTTTGCAACAAGGACCACGATGTGAGCCGACTCGCTGCTTTCAAACGTCTCACTCACCTCGCCAGTGATGAGCTCTGACGGCAGGTCCGACACGACCGCGACAGCTCCCTGGGCCCCGCGGCCGACCAGCCACTTGGCCATCTCGGTCTCGCCCGATGAGGCCGCAAGGTACAGCAGCGGCGCGAGCCAACGGTCGTCGTCCAGCAACCATTCGACAAACGCCACAACACCCGTAACCGCCGCGTGTATCAGCACTATCGGCCGGAGAAAAGGGTCGAGGGCGAGGTCAACTTTGTCGTGGACCCACTGGACCAGCGCGACGTTGTCAGTGGCCACGGCAGCGAGAAAGAGATCAGTGTCGGCGTTGACATCTGCGATGTCGACGCCTTGATTGTCGACGAGCCATGTTGCAAAGGCCTCGTTGCCGAGTGAGACAGCAGCGTGCAGCGCAAGCGCGGCACTGGCGCCTCCGGAAGACACCAGCCACTGGGCGATGTCCGGCCGGTCGTGAGAAAGCGCAGCTTCGACAGCGGTCTCGGCGTATTTGGCATGCTTGGTCACGTCGGCACCAGCAGCCACCAGCCACTGAACTAGGTCCATGTTGCCGTCACCGGCTGCGGCAACAAGCGGCCAGACCTCGTCGCCACGGTTGAGGTCGGCGTTGGCAGACGAGACAAGCCATTTGACAACGAGAGCGTGGCCCGCCGCGGCAGCCGCACACGCCGCGGTCCCTCCATCGTCATGGACTTCGTCCACGTCCACCCCAGCATGCTCGACTAGCCACTGCACGATCGACAGTTGGCCTCGGCTCGCAGCGGCAGCCAGCGGCGGTTGATCGCCACCGACCAGACAGCCCACATCTTCGGCCACCAGCCATTGCAGCGTCTCCAGCGCACCGCCCTGCGCCGCTGCTGCTGCCGGCGTCAGGTCGAGATAGCCACCTGGCACCGATTCGGTGGCTGTCATTGAAACGCCGGCCGAGAGGAGCACCTGCACCGTGGCCAAGTCGTTCACGTGTGCCGCAGACACGAGCGCGGCACGAATATCAGCCTTGCTCCCTGCATCATCCGCCGTGATCTCCATCCCGCTCTCAGTGATCATCCACCTCACCAGCTCAGCGTGACCGCCCCGGGCCGCTAGCATCAGGGCTGTGTCGTCCTCGTCGCCGGACAGCGGTCCGGTGTAGAGACCCTCATCCACAAGGCCTCTCACAACCTGAACAAAACCAGCCTTTGCCGCAGCATGGACAGCATAGCCCAGATATGCCTCTACGGCACCATCAGCACACGCGAGCAACTGAGGGTGACCAGCCACCCACTTGATCATCTCCAACGAGTCCGTCTCGGCCGCGAGGAGGCTCGGCGGCTTATCTTCCCCCCAAACTCCTCCTCCTTGGCCACCAGCTTCCCGCCGGCACTATCCACCAACCACTGCGCCACGAGCAATTTCCCACCCTTTGCCGCTGCTACCAAAGCTGCTGCCACGGCCTCCTCCCGATCCGTCGGCGACGTCATGCCCTCCACCAGTCGCATCACCTCGTCGAGCTGGCCAGCACCTGCTGCATGCGTGACCGACTCTGCCATAACGTGTGGAAGAAAGATAGAGCGTGCGGAGTTGGTGTGTGTATGGCGAGTGGTGTATATATGTATGTATATGTGTATGACGATGTGCGGGACGTTCTCTCTCTCTCTCTCTCTCTCTCTCTGTCTGTGTGTGAGTGTCCGTGTGTGCGTGTGTGTACGTGCGAGGGTTGTTGGTGAAGCAAACAGAACAATCATGCGAGACTGTTCCCTTGAACGCATGCGTTGCTTTTTCGGGAAACACATTCTCGGCTTGCTTTGCCACTCTCAACCAACGAGTCCTGATCACGGTCAACGATGTGGGTGATTGGCTCGGATGGTCACGAATCCCCCCTTCCTGTCCCCAGTCTCATCCTCTTCATGTCACGTTGCCGTTCTCAACGAAATCATGGCCGTCATCCTCTGTCCACCCACCTACTCATGTGTCCTCCCTCGCCGTAACTACTCCACCTGCTCGGCATGAAACAGCCCACCACCACCACCCAGCGACTACATATATGTAGTCGCTGGGTGGTGGTGGTGGGCTGTTTCACGGCAGCCCTGGTGCACGCCTCCCTTCGCGTCCCTGCCGCCGACGCAAGCAACGCTGGTTAACTGTCATGGCTCTTGCGACTTTATCTGACACGAGCGCTGACATGATATCGGCAGCGCTGACAATCATAGTGTCGGGACTGCTCACCACCAACCTCTGCCCCACCACACTACTGCATTGCCCATTCCCACAATCTTCCCTCAGCCTCTTGTGGCCTTGGTCATGAAAGGCTCCCGCCGTCCTTCAGTCGAGCAGCGCCATGCCAGCTGTCATTGACATGTTAGCTATTGGCACCTAATTGCTTGCGACCCGATGAACAAACGTTTGCGGCTTCGCGAGCCCAAACACCTCACCCGCTTCACCTCGCTCTGGTCATGCCCTCCGGCACGGCCTCAGCCTCTAGCGGGCGCTCCTCCACCGATGACCATACCGGATTCACACGGTCGTCGTCCGCAACCACACCAGATGACCCTACCATTACTCATCCTTACTTGCAGAATACGGCCTATGACGGCCACCCCGGACCGCCCCACACCCAGCCCACAGCACCGTCATCGACGACGACTATGCATGTTCGTCGCGGACTCAGGTGGCGTATGGCCTCGATCTAGCCTCAATGTCGACACCAAAGTCTGTGTCGGCGACACACTCCCGCGTCTCACACTCGGCGTCCTGGTCGCGGCACACTGTTGCGTACCGACCGAGCCAAGCCGGGCTCCATGAAGCGGACCACGCTCTGGAGTCGCCCCACCTTGCCACGCCGACCATCCCTTTCTCGACACAGGTCCTCTCCCTCGGCCGCGAGCCGTTTCTTATGTCTGAGTTTGATGAAATCGAGGTTGTGGCCCGTGGCGGCTTTGGTGTTGTCTCCAAAGCCCGCCGCCGCGACGAGGTCTTTGCTATCAAGTCGATTCGCATCGAGTCGGGCGCAGGCAGCTCGGCCTACGATGACCTGCTCAACGAGCTCCGCGTCCTTGTTGCTGTCCAGCACCCGTACGTTCTCCGCATCTTTGGTATCTGCATTCACGATGACGATGTCGGCAAGGCCAACCCGTCGTCGTTTGGCATCGTCTCCGAGTACGCCTTTGGCGGCACGCTCTCGCGATACATACGCCACCCAGACGAGTACCTTCAGAACAGGACGCCGATAAGGCTCGCACTTCTCGAGGCTCGATGGCTTTTTCAGCTCGCCTGCGGCCTCGCTGAGATCCACCGCGCGGCACTCGTTCATCTTGACCTCAAGCCCGACAACGTGTTCCTCTCGTCCAAGGACGGCGAGTTTGGCGCTCAAGTCCGCATCGGTGACCTTGGCTCGGCAACCCAGGACGCGTCGCGCTCGGCTCTGGATGCCGGCCCGTGCGACGGCCTTGTCAACATTACCATGTCCTACTGCGCGCCCGAAGTCATCGAGGACCCTAACAATGTCTCGACCGCTGCGGACGTCTTCTCCTTTGGCATCATCGCCTACGAGCTCCTCACCAAGCGCCACGCCTTCTCGCACTCGTCCCGAATCAAGAACTACTACAGGCTTCCAAACTGGGCCCCACTCAACGCGCTTGTCCGCGATGTACCTAGCCTTGCTAGCATCGTCTCGCTCGTCAAGGCTTGCTGCCTCCCCGAGCCGCACAACAGGCCCGAGACCGCACAAATCGCGCTTGATCTCTCCGCCGCATACACCGCGCTTATGGATGCGTCGCTTGACATGGCAGAAGACTTGTCTTCGGCGGGCACACCTGCTGCTTCACCATCACCGCCGCTCGACCACTCTGAGGCCCAGCACTTTTGGTCGACCATGATCGCTCCGCTAGTGGCGCTCGACGCCGATCGCGCTGCCCTCCCGATCTCTTCGTTTGTCACCATCCTCAACACATTCGCTGCCGCCACCAACGCCGTTTGGGAGGGCACAGTCTCGGCGCGCCAGCTCCGTGCACTCTTTGGCACTGCTGTGACCAAGGCCAAGTTCAATGAGCTTACCCGTGGAAACGGTCTTCTCGCCCTATTTACCACCGTCGCTTTGACGTCGTCATCATCGTCGTCGTCATCGTCGTCAAACGGACCAGGCGGCACCGACGCCGCACCCGGACCGAGTGGCCAACACAGCAAGGCCGAGACTTGCAGTGCCGTCACAGACTCGTCGAGCTCGTCGGACTCGACAACTCCCCTGACACTGTGGATGGGCGAAGACTTTTCACTACAGGGCCTGCTCGGCGCTCGCGCCGCCGCCGGCTCGATCGACATAGTCTCGATTGTCGACTCGCTCGCCGTTTCGCTCCGCGCTATGGTCGCTATTCTTCCCTTCTCGTCGTCGTCCAAGGCCCCACCGCTTGCCTACGCCTACAACCCCGAGGATAGCTCGGCCCCGCCGCCACTCGCTCTTCACCTCTACATCATTGCCGAGTCGCTGCGCAGCATCCCGCGCAGCATTGTGTACTCGGCCATCCCGGGTCTCACCAAGGCATTTGCCCACACCGCACCGTCGACCTCGCTCGCCCAGGTCTTCCACCCTCTCATCGATGGCAATGCCACTATTCCGCCGACTCCCGATGAGCTCGCCTCGCTGATCTCTTCCCTCGCAGATGTTCTCTCGGCCGAAGTCGCCCGCGGCAACGCCAACTCTGCCCTTGCCATTCTCGCCTTTGTTGACAAGCTCGCTGCTAAGCTCGCCACCACCGGCCACGCTTCAGCCAAGGCGCTGCTCACTCGGCTAGACAACATCGGCACCGCCGCTCGCCTCGTCGCCACACGCCAGCTTGAGCGGATGCAAGCCGTCCGCAGCGCCGATGCCAAGGCCCTCACCGGCACCGCGTTCCAAGCGCGGACCCTCGCGCTCGCTGCCCAAGACGCACGCTCTGTATCGTCAGCCTCGGCTCTGCAAATGGCTCTCGGCGAGGCACGTGCCTACCTTCGCTCACAGCCGCAGACCTGGGACTACTACTCGATGGTCCGCTTCCATCTCTCATCAGCCTTCAGCGCCGCACATGAGCTTATCGAGTCGGGCATGATGGACGGGTCTATCGTTGCACACTCTGCTCGCGCCAAGCCGACCAAACCGAGTACAAGCGGCGGTTCGGACACCGGCCCTGACTCCGAGTCTGGGTCAGACGCCGGATCAAGCAGCCTGGGACTGACAGTTGGCGTTGACGCGCACTCTCTTGCCTCGTTGCGCGGCTCTGGCAGCAGGCTGCTGCCCACGCTTGTCTCGCCGTCACCACCTGCATCGGCATCGAGCGGCCATCCTCCTCCTCACCAGCATGGCATGTCATCGGGGCCCATTTCGACATCTTGCGATACTACCAGCGCGAGCACGCTCGAGTTCTCGACATCATCGTCGTCCTCCGGCGTCGGATTTCTCACCTCGGCCGTTGTTGGCCGAGCTATGAAAGCCGCTGGCCCACTCACCTCGTCGCTTTCCTTCTTTGACTATGTCAACAAGCTCCCATCCAAGGCGGCACAGCAGGTGTGTTTTGCGCGCCTTGCCGCTGTCTCACCGAACCGCGCCGCCTTTAACGTTGTCGCGGAAGACGTGGCACGGATACTGGCGCTCCGACAGGCCAAGGACCTTGTCAAGCTTGGCTCGACCACCGTGTCCTCGGGCATTGTCTCGCGGTTTAAGACCTCAATGGAGGATGGTGGAACCAAAGTTGTCGAGTCGCCAGCGCGCAGGCTCGCCGCTCGCCACGCGTCGGCGATGCTCCAGGCTGTGATGGCTGGCGAGGTCGAGGCGGCCAAGTTTGGCGCGCCGACGCCTGACCCAGCTGTCAGTGGGTTTTGCGCGGCTGCTCCGTCTGCACCGGACGGCTCCCCACCGTTTACTGCCAGCCTCTCCCCGCGCGACCTTGCCGCCGTCATTGTCAACTCATCGTCGTCAGCCTCGTCGTCGGCGGCATCTACCAACTCGGCCACATCGGCGTCGCTTCTGGTCTGCCCCGCGGTCACCGGCCTTGCCATCCTGCCGTCGCTCGAATCGCTCTATGCTGAGTCGGCAGTTGTGGCGCAGTCGCAGGCGGTCCAGTCACCATACCAGCTGGCGGCGCTCGAGGTCTCGCTTCTCGATGCCCTGGTACCGCGCGCGCTGAGTCACGCCTCCACGCTGCTTCCGCTCAAGCGCGCACTAGCCTCGTTCTCACGGGCGACTGCCGCCGACAACCCGTCGTTGATCACGCGGGCGGCCGCGGCGGCCATGGACTCGCTCTCTGCCGCAGACACATTGCTTGCTGGACAAGTCCCGACCCGTGCTGGGGCCATCTACGGCGCAGTCTACCAGCTGCTCGCACGCTCGCAAGTTGCGGACAACTTTTCGCTCTTGAGCAAGCTACAAGCAGCGGCGCTCCTCCGATTTGACGTTGTCTGCCGCATCTGCACCTCGCAGGCCTGGGTCCGCGGCGAGTTTATGGCGCCGGCGCCACCGGGCACACTCACCGCGTCCGCGCTGCAAAAGCGACTGGCTGCCATGCGGAGCGTCGCACTTGAGAACGTACTTGCTTCAGCGGAGCTGGGGCCGATGGTGCCGACCGCGCCGCGCGAGCTGCGGGGCTTCCGGCTCCCGAAGCTGTTGAGCGCACTCGAAACGCTAGCTGCCGCGCAGCGCTCGCTTTTTTCCACCATTGTCGTCTCGGCGCTGCACGTGCTCGGCGCGCCGCCGGTCGACTTTGCCTTTGTTGCCCTCGGCGCGTCTGCTGACTGCATTCCGTCACTCTCCCCGACTCTCGAGTTCGCCTGTCTTGTCGACGACGACGCCGAGTATGCGCGCGAGTTCTTTGTGGCGCTTGTGGCGTACATCCGGCTCAAGATGGTCCAGCTCGGCGAGACGCTAGCCCGTGAGTCGTCGGGCGACGGCCGCGGCGGCCTCACGGTTCCTGGCTCCAAGTCCGGCATGGCGTCAGGCTTTGCGCTCTCATCGTCGGGCGCATCTCCGTTTGCAGGCGGCGTTCCAGACGCGTGGTACGGTACGCCCGAGGAGCTCATTGCCCGGCTCCTGGAGGACGGAACTAGAACGAGTCCAGAAACGCTCTCCCGCGTTGTTTCGGCGAGCCACATGTTTGCCAGCTCGCGCAAGGCGACGGCTTCGCTCCTCGCGCGCTACTACCGGGCGTTGCGAAAGGAGCTCTCGGCGCCGGTGGCGGACATTCACACAGGCGTCGACGTGCAGGTGTCAAACCCACCGCTGGCGTTTGTCCTCGGCTCGCAGCTCTTTGCCGCTGTCATCCGCGACGACAGGTACGCGCCGGCGTCGCCGTTTGAGCGCCACTTTGGTGTGACGGCGAGCATGACCCAGGTTCCGTACCTAGCCATGCTTGCGATGACGACCATTGTGTGCGAGCTCGGCCCGCGGAGCTTTGCAGAGAGGGTTGATCGGCTTGTCGATGTCTGCGCTGTGTCGGCGCGGCTGGGTAACGCCGCCAAGTCGCTGGTCTACACCGGCGTTGGCCTGCGCATCCTGCTTCAGGCGTACAACGAGTCGGAGGAGGACAGCCTTGGTCCTGACGTGCTCACCTCGCGCGGCATCATTCTCCCAGACGTGCACATTAGCTGCGTCGACATGCTTCCGCTCCTGATCAAGGCGCACAAGACGCTGGCCGTGCCGATGTACGAGTCGCTCAAGTTGGCGCTGCCACGAATGGTGAGCCTCGCTGGCTCAGTGGCGCTCACCGGGGTTGGCCTTGTGGCGGCGACGCCGGTCAAGTGGGCGATGGACTCCTTCGCAGCCGTTGCGGTAGCGGCTGATGCGGCCGTCATCCGGCGCAAACTGAGCACGCTGGACAATGCCTCGCTCCAGCGACTTGTCTCCAAGTCTGCGGCCGGCCAGACGCTTGCGGCCTGGCTTGCGTTGCCGACGCCTGGTCAGCTCGAGTGGGACCAGGCGAACAGTGCCGGGATCGAGCTGAGAGAGGTGCGGCAAGCACTCCGGGCGCTTGTTCGGGCCTCGGGCCGCGAGCACGGCGAGATCAGTCTCGCCAGTCACCGGCTTCTCACTTCGCTCTCGGGCTATCTCGCGCATCCGACGAGTGACGTGCTGGGCGCACCGAAGGTGTTTTATTCGCCGCTCGGCGGTCCATTGGTAGTGCCTGCTGCTGCGGCGCCCCACTTTGGACGGCCGGCCACGCTGCAGCAACTGAGTGACGTCCAGTTTTCGCGACGGGCTCTGCTGTACCTGCTCTCCGGCTCGCTACTGGGCGGGACCGCCGTCGATGTATTACTTGCGTGCGGGCAATCCGGCGGCGATGTCGGTGATCTCTCCTTCCGTGTGGTCAACGAAGAGTCTGCCGCCGCGGTGCTGGAGAGCGAGACGGCGCGTGTGGTTATGGCGTGTCTTCTTGAATGCACACCGGACGGGCTTGTTTCGGGTGAGTCGCCATGCCTCTTGCTCGACGGGGTGGTGGACGAATCTGGGTGGGCGGCTGAGTTCGGCGCACGGCTGACGGCGTCGGCAGACGCCTCCGTGCTTAAGGACTTTGTGCGATGCGGCGCGTTTGCAACACAGGCCTTGTCTGAGTCAGCAACGCGAGCGGTGCACTACGTGGAGCAGTTTCTAGAGGACTTGGTCGAGACCGCAGCGCAGTTTAATGCTGCAGTCTACTTTCGGGAGCAGCTGGCGTGTGCCGAGCTCGAGGCTCAGGTCGGCGAGGCGCTTTCCATGTTGATGAATCGCGAGGGCATTAGGCGGCTGGCTGTCACGCTCCTTGCCATGCACGAGGCGGCGCGGCGGAGCCTTGACGCAGAGAGCCAGAAACAGAGTGGTGGCGATGGTGTCGCGTCGGCGAGGCGGCTTGGCCTCGGAACGCTGGTAGGCCACTTTAATGCGGCTGTCACGTCGGCGCTGCCGCCGCTGGCTGGTGTGCCAGTCTCCGCGCGAGGCGTGTCGGATCCAGGAACATGGGACGATGGCCATTGCGTACCAATGGAAGCAGTTCACCCGCTCTCTGCGCTTGCAGCCCTGCCAAAAATGCCATCGGTGCTGGAGCCTGGCAGCAACGCTGAGGACATGGCTGAGTCTGTGTTCAGCCTGATCTCGTCGTACTCTCTCCCTGCCTACCTCGGCCCGCTAACGGTTGCGCTTGTGGGGCTGGACATGGTGACGGACAAAATGGTCCAGCGCCTTGTCGGTGCGGCGCACTGCCTTGCAGTGCTTGTGGTCGACGATTGTCCACTGGTGAGCGACTTGAGTGGCCTTGTGGGTGCATCGGTTGATTCGATGCTGCAGATCCTCATCCTGAGTCGGAGCATGGCCATCGAGACCTCGTGCGAGGCACCGCCGCTGACTTGGAGCGGCCGGCCGATGGCCGGGCCGTGTCTGGAGACGATTGCGACAACGTCGGCTCAAGTAGCGGCGGCGGCATCAACCGCGCTGGGATTGTCCTCGTCGTCGGGAGACGAGGAGGCGCGCGGGTCCGGGCGGACACGGCGGCGTCGCAAGCGGATGCACAAGTCTTCGCGGCGGACAGTCTCACACGAAGCCAGGGAGTGGGGAGAGACGAACCGGGTGCGGGTCGAGGTTGTGCCCCGCGGCGAGTCCGGTGTGGCTTACCTCCAGCGGACGCAATCGGCTGCAGTGTGCGAGGTGAGGCACGCGACGGTAAGCGTGCGGAATGTGGTTGACGCGGCGCTGACAAGCGCAGAGTGTTCGATGCGGTTCTGGTCCGATTGCATGGCCGACGGATATGTAGCAGCGCGTGTGGAGGATCTCGCTCATCTACAAGTGCTCAACGAGACCGATCCTTGGTCGCGGGTGGTGGCGCGGATAGCGTCGTCTCGGTTGGTCGGCTCCGCAGACCGACTCACCTTTGAGCCGACGATGGCGTTTGACGTCGGCGATGTGGACCGTTACGGTGGCGAGGGCGCGCTGGCCTCGCTGCGATTCGAGGCACCGCAGCTCTCGGCAAGCGGGCGGTCACAGAGTGCATGGAAGACACAGACCCGAAAACTGCTCACCAACATTACCGAGCGGATCTCGAATGTGCTCGACACAATCGAGGAGGTGTACTCGGAGAGCTCAGACTCCGAGGCCGAGGCTGTGGCCAACGCTGGCGAGCTTGCAGAGGAGCTGCGGGTTGTGGGTGATGCCATTGATGTCCGGCGCGACGAGCTTGACGTTGAAGGTGCGGTGACGTTGCGAGCGGCAACGAGTCACAAAGAGCGCAAGCAGCTGCGGCGGCTGGGCAAGGTGACTGAGAGTCTACAGCAGCTGCTCCAGTCGCGGGCGACCAAGGAGGGCGACGGCATGGGCATCTCGAGCCATGCAGCAAGCCGGATGGCGCAGCTCGACGAGCGAGCGGCGCAGGCGGTGAGCAAGCTCTCGTCAGGCATCGTGTCGCAACTTCCCACTGGTCTTGACTGGGCAGCGCCGTCGCAGGCGTCAGCGCCGGCGCTCCGGGCTGCCACCCGCGAGCTCCGCGGCCTCGTTGATGGCGACGGCGGAGCTGAAGACGACTCACAATTCCAGGCGCTGCAAGTCCAGGCCGCACGTCTCGAGGCGCATCTGGCGGGCGTGCTCGAGGACGAGACCAAATGCGCCCTCCGAATGCAGGAGCTCCAGTGTGCGCTAGAGAGCGTGCAGGAGTTGGTGCAGACTGCTCTCGACCTCGTCCCTCACGACTTTGCGCCGCTGACGACGATGAGGCGGCAAGTTGTGCGCGTGCTGGCCATGGTCAAGCGTGGCGACGACATCGCCCGCATTAGGCGTGTGGCCGCTGGAATCGGTACCTCTGCTAGTGTCGTTGTCGCCATGGTGGAGCAGTGAAGATGACAGGCATGTGTGTGCATGGAGGGCGGAGAGGGGGAGGTGGGGGGAGGGGGGTGAGTACGACAACATTTTTTTTTGTTCTCTCGTCCAAAAGACTTTCCCCCTGTGACCAGCGGAGGGTGTGCGCGTGTGACCTGCCCGTCCTCCGCTGCCAAGAGACGGCACGACCATGACGACGGCAAGCGACGTGAGAGCAGCGAGAACGAGACAGACAATGTGATAGAACCATAGGTCTTCCCAAGAAGGAGACACACCTCACCGCCCCCCCCCCCCC